ATCCAGACACAGAGCAAGGTCATCACCTATGCAGGCTGCATCACCCAGATGTTCTTTTACATAGTTTTTGCAGTGTTGGATTACTTCCTTCTGACCGTGATGGCTTATGACCGGTATGTGGCCATCTGTCACCCCCTACACTACACGGTCATCATGACCCCCTGGGTTTGTGGAAAGTTGGTTCTGACATCCTGGATCATGAGTGTCTTGTATTCCTTGTTACATACCTTACTGGCATTGCGGCTGTCCTGTACACATGTGGAAATCCCCCACTTTTTCTGTGAACTTAATCAGGTGGTTCACCTTGCCTGCTCTGACAGCTTTCTTAATGACATGGTGATCTATTTTGCATCTGTGCTGCTGGGTGGTGGTTCCCTCACTGAAATAATTTACTCTTACTCTAAGATAGTTTCTTCTATACGTGCCATCTCATCAGCTCAGGGGAAGTTCAAAGCCTTTTCCACCTGTGCCTCTCACCTCTCCGTTGTCTCCTTATTTTATTGCACAAGCATAGGTGTGTACCTTAGTGCTAGTGCTACCCACAGCTCACACTCGAGTGCAGCAGCTTCAGTGATGTACAGTGTGGTCACACTCATGCTGAACCCCTTCATCTACAGTCTGAGGAATAAAGACATAAAAAGGGCTCTGAAAATAGTCTTTGGGAGGCAAACTATTAAACTATTAAACTATGGCCTGGGGCCATAGTTTCAAAGCATTGGGACTAAAAATTGTGATTCTCTGATCAGATTGTGAAAGTAGAGCTGGCTCTCCTTGTCTATGCAGAAAAACTAACACAGTTTCTAGGTTTCTACATTTTCTCATAGCCGGAAGTTATTTTCTCTGCCATTTTCCTACTTCCCCAAAGTTACTCCCAGCTTTGTGTCAGATAAATTTTAAAATTTTCATTCGCTCATGGGATGACCTGGAACTCTTTAAGAATCATTTATTCTCTAATAGTGTATATTGTTCTGAGGAATTCTGAGCCCCACTACAATCTCTTCTCCTCCATCTTCCTCTTGGGAGTTTGAGTATGGACACACACGTGCCCCATGCAAATTTCTAGCCAGTGAATCTGGAACTCAGACCACAACTGGCCATGTGGTGTTTATGGAGTCTAGCCCCTTAAACACTACGTCACCTGCTGACCTGCCATATAGCTATTTTCAAATTGTTTACTTTTGTCAAATATTTTATACTTGTGATTGAGTGAATCTGTAGATGTGGACCCCCAGATACAGGGGAGAGGGGAGTACTTATTACGATCAGATTTTGGGAATTTGCTTCAGCTATATATTTTCTGGAGCTTCTGTTTCTCTTTCTGCAACTTTTGTCATTCAATTTAAATAACTCGCTTTATTAAACTTTCTGCTCTATTTAATATGTGGAAAGTTTTCTTTTTTTTGTACATTTTTCTATTTCATATATTAATTCCTAACTTGGTAAAGAAACAGAAGAGTAAAGAAGAGAGAGAGAGAGAGAGAGAGAGAGAGAGAGAGAGAGAGAGAGAAGAGAGAAAAAGAAGGATGACACACTGCATTCACTTCTCCTCTAGTCTCCTCTTGGCATTTGGGCACACATGCCCAGCATGATTTTCAATCAAGCAGTCCAGGACTTGAGTTGTGGAGTCAGCCATGTGGGATCCAGTGCTTTACCCTTCACACCACCTGATGACCTGGGTTTTATTCTCGTGATTAAGATCCAGTTCTCTTATTCAGCCTAGTGTTTATAGCATCCACCATAGTCAATGGCAAAAACTAATTATCAAACACATGGCACTATGTGGAGTGCATGTGAGGATGGAAATGGAATATTTTGTTTTAATCTGCCTTACAGTCAAAGATAACCTTAAATATAATTCAGGTACATGTTGTTATACATTCTATTACTGTGGAATATGATTCTTTTTAAAGCTGTGCATCTACTCATTGAGGAAGGATAGATTATTGCTTGTGTGTGAAGAGTTCTATTTTTGATGTATAGCATTTTTGCTATGGACTCATGGAGCTAAATATCTCCAAATTGACCTTAAGTTTCTTCTGATACTTAAGTGAAATTTTAATACAAAATGCCCTTACCAGGATAAATTTAATGAATGAATTGAAAGGCATGAAGTTAGGTTGCTTGCATTAAAATTATTTTATGTAATTATTTTTAATTTCATGTAATTATTTTTAATTTTTATGAATTGTTATTTATATAAAAAATAAAGTTAAGAAAAAACTACATGCACTATCTTTTCCTTCACAGTTGAAGTTTTAACATCTTTCTCTTTTTCTCTTGGACTCATCTTTTCTTTCCTTTTGTCCCATGCCTACAACCTGAGATCTAGATGCATCTTGAAGTTTTAATCAAAATTCCATCCTTACAAAGTTCATGATTAGACCGTCCTGAGTCCCACTTCTGCAAGGTATCATGAATTTGCTAATAGTGTGTCCTAGTAGAATGGTATTGTGCAAGAATTAAATCAAACAAACCATGTAAGTTTCTAAACAGTCCATTGAGTATAAAGAGGTCAACCTATGTCTCTTGTAATTACTCAGGGCTACATAAATCAAAGACTAAATGACAATGAAAAATTAAAAAAAAATACTTAACAGATTTTTGTGATAGAGTGCATATGCTTGCAGTAGAGAAATAGAGAAAAACAGAGAGAGGGAAAAGTCAGAAATCATCCCACTAGAGATGGTTGTGTTGCAATCCCTTCTCCTTTATGTCCTCTTGGGATTTAGGGCCCATAGGCCCACATGCCTGGCTTGATTTTCAAGCTGCTAGGTTCTGAATTTTATTTATTTATTTATTTATTTATTTATTTTTGCTATAGGGTGCGTGTGCTCGCTAGACAGATGGAGAGAGACAGAGAGACAGATAGCAAAAAATCATCCCCCGGCGGGAGGGGGGGGGGTGGCCATGCCACAATCCCTTCTCCATTCTTCTCTCGGAATCTTAGGCATGCATGCACACACGCCCGGCATAAGTTTTAAGCCACCAGATCCGGGACGGGAACTGTGGTCGACTACATGGGAGTCCAGAGACATAGCTATTACACTAACTGCTGGTCCCCTGCTGGGTTCTGAATTTGAACCACAGTTGACCATGTGTGAGACTAGCACCTCAAACATCATACCACCTGCTAGTCCCTCAATAACAACTTTTAATGCATGTCCTGAGCATAAAACTCCTAAACGCTTTGCAAAAGCATTACAAAACCAAGGATTGTCGTGACTACACATAGTTTTGTAGCATGTGAACACAGTTCTCTCTCATGTCGAAGAGGCAATACGATCAGTTTCTGGACATCTAAAGAGTTGTATCTCCACTATGAATCTATGCTTTGGAAATTAGAAGGGCTAGTAAGGACAAATTCCTCAGTTAGATTCAGAAGAATTTCATTTTATTTTATGATTTCTAATTTACATGCTATCACTGTGCAATTCTATAGTATACAATATATTCAAGACACACACATGCATATGCAGTGTGTGACAATAATTTTTTAATTTGTTTTTTTTTGTTTTTGCTGCAGGACACTTGCACTCACAGAAATGGAGAAAAAAGAGAGAGAAGGTAAATGAGAAATCACCTCCCTGGGGCATGGTCATACTGCATTCCCTCTCTTGCAGTCTCCTCTCAGGATTCTGGACACATATGCACACTGCCCAGCTTGATGTCCAAATCATCATGTCCAGGAATTGAAATGTACATTCAGCTAAGTGGGATCAAACACCTTAACCTCCTGCCACATGCTGGCCCCTGACAAATTTTAATTCAACAGCAGGTAAAAGGTGCTAATGACCTCTGGAGGCAGGAGAGTTCACAGAGAACAAGCAATAAAGACTGAATTCTTCCCACTTTTATCCTGGTCTCTTGAGAGCAGCAAATCAGAATGAAAATGTTATTTTCTTTCCAGACCAGTGTCCACGAGGGAAAAAGGGGAATTAGCTACCAAGAGGTTGTAGTTATAGGGAGGAAATGTACCTAATGAGCAGACATAGGGAGCTGTAAATATTTCATCTGCCATTGTCTCCCAAGGAGTATAGCCTTGGGCTAGGCAAGACATGGTTGATTTTTCTGGAGTCTCCAGACTGGTTAGGGTTCCACATTTAATTCTTTCATTGTATCTTGCCTGGGGACAGAGCTGCAGTTTCCATCACCAACCATTCAGGGAGAAATTTACCCTTCCACAAGAAAACTGTCCTCTCTGAGAGTTTCTCTGAGAGCCCATGCAGGTGAACCTGAGAGCCTGGTAGGTACCACAGTAATGGATCAGAGAAGATAGATACCAAGGACATCTACCTGAGATCAGCTGAAAGTCAAACCAGCCTAGCAAGAGCTGAAAGATTGATGTGTTGGGTGCTTGTGTGACCAAGCTATTTATCATTAATTTATTCAACATGTTAACAAGTCATATGTCTGTCAGACTTAGCAATGCAAGCATCCTTGTGGACAATTTAGTGGTGGGAATAGACTTCCAGTTGGATGAGGGTGAAGAAGGAATGGGAAAAATAAAATGATGTCAGTCAAATGAGAACATGTGCACAGAAATTTGCAGTTCAAGAAGTAGGAAAAGTAGAATCAGAGTTGTGATGAACTATGTAGTGACTTTTGGGTCTGTTAAGGAATTTTTGAAACGAGTGTATTTGTGCATATTTCTGTATTTCTTTTTTTTTTTTAAGGATCCAGATGTATGGATCGTTTGCAATTCATACCTTGCAAATGTAGTTCATGAGACTTACATTTCACAGTTTTTTCTTTCACATTGGGCATTCACAGAAGAAAAATTTAATCGAAGGTCAAAATAAGAATATTAAAGAGTTTTTACTTACAACTGTTTTCTTGCTGTTATAATTGAATAAGCTCGTGAGTCTATCAGCATTTTACTGTACTGGAAATCATGTCAGCATTTTATTTTTGTGTTCTGGAGTTGGAATATATTTGATTCTTTTGAGTTTTTTCCTTTTAATAATGAATTGAAGTTTTAAAATAAAAATTTCAGAATAACATTAAATTATGTTATGTATTGATCGATATAGATATATATTGGGTGAATGTGAAAAATTAATAGATTTTGTGTTATCAAATCTAATAGGCCATTATATGGTGTACACACCCACCCACTCCATATTTTTATTAACTTAGAATAATTCTACATCAGTAGTAAACATAAATTTCCTTTTTGTCATATTTGCTCACCTGAAAGAGAGACAAAGAGAGGGAAAGTGAGAAATCATACCCCCGGGAGATGTGCACATAGAATCCTTACTCTTTTATCTTCTTTTTGAGATTTTTGGCATGCATGCCTGGGTTGAGGACTTGAACCACCGTCCGCCATGTTGGAATACAACACCTTTGCCACTATGACGCTTGCTGACCCCTCAAGCTATGATTTCATTGTACAGTTATCTGAATACTAATCAACAGAGAAAAATAAGGAGATCAATCTATTGAATACTTTTGAGATAAAATACTGAGTTATTGAACTTAACTACGGTATCTGAAGTAATCAAAGTCATAGAAGCAGACGACAATATGGTGGTTGCCAGTGGGTTGGGGATTGGAGGAAATAGAGTTGTTTTCCTTTTTTATTTTAAAAAATATTTTATTTTATTAATTATTATTATTATTCAACTTGACCAGATAGAAACAGAGAGAGAGAGAGAGAGAGAGAGAGAGCGCAAACCACCAGGTCCTGGAATTGAACGAACTGCAATCCGCCATATGGTAGTCTAGCACCTTATCCACCATGCCACCTGCTGGCCCCAGAGTTGTTTTTCAATGGATATAATGATACAGTTTTTGGGCCAGCTGATAGTGTGGTGGTTAAGGTGGCTTGGTCATACATGGTCGACTGCCTGTTAAAGTTCCAGACCTGGTAGCTGGAAAAAAATGCCAGACAGGTGTACATGCACTCCCAGCATCCTGAAAGAGGAGAATATTGTGGAATGGCCATTCTCCATGGGGAGGGGTGATATCTCACTTTCCCTCTCTCTCACTGTCTCTTTGTCTGGTGAGTGCATGTGCCCAATAACAAAACTAAAACAAAACAAAACCCCAAAACAAATAAAATCCTATTGTAACATCATATTTTACTCTATAAATATGTACTATTATTTATTGTCAATGAATACATAAGTAGAAAGTCCTGCAGAATACATAATCTATGGGAATAAAGAGGTGAGATAAGAAGTCCAAACAGAGATGGCATTAAGAATGCCTAAAGCGGATTAGATCCATAAAAATATGAAATGTAACTTTGTGATCGCAAAATATTATCTATGGCAGTTCAGCTATGTGAGTAATATCTGCCCATGTGAAATTAGCCATTTCATTTTACTCTTCAGGGAGTCACCATGGAACCAGGAAATGACACACAAAGTTCAGAATTCCTTCTTCTGGGATTTTCAGAGGAGCCAGAATTGCAGCCCCTCCTATTTGGGCTGTTCCTCTCCATGTACCTGATCACTGTGTGTGGAAACCTGCTCATCATCCTGGCCACCATCTCAGACTCCCACCTGCACACCCCCATGTACTTCTTCCTCTCCAACCTGTCCTTTGCCTCCACCACCGTCCCAAAGATGCTGGTGAACATCCAGACACAGAGCAAGGTCATCTCCTATGCAGGCTGCATCAACCAGATGATGTTTTTCATGCTCTTTGGAGGGGTAGATGTCTTTCTCCTGACAGTGATGGCTTATGACCGGTATGTGGCCATCTGTCACCCCCTGCACTACATGGTCATCATGAACTCCTGGCTCTGTGGACAACTGGTTCTGGCTTCATGGAACACAAGTGCCCTGTATGCATTATTACAAAGCTTAATGGTGTTGAGGCTGTCCTTCTGTACACATGTGGAAATTCCCCACTTTTTCTGTGAACTGAATCAGATAGTCCACCTTGCCTGCTCTGACCCCTTTCTTAATGACATGGTGACCTATTTTGCATCTGTGCTGCTGGGTGTTGGTCCCCTCACTGGGATCATTTACTCTTACACTAAGATAGTTTCCTCCATTCGTGCAATCTCATCTGCTCAGGGGAAGTACAAAGCCTTTTCTACCTGTGCCTCTCACCTCTCAGTTGTCTCCTTATTTTACAGGCATGGGTGTGTACCTAAGTGCTGGGGTTACCCAAAGCTCATACTCAAGTGCAGGAGCTTCGATGATGTACAGTGTAGTCACCCCCATGCTAAACCCCTTCCTCTATAGTCTCAGGAATAAAGACATAAAAAGGGCCCTGAAAAAATTATTTGGAGGAAAGGTATAAAAGCTCCAATATTTCTAGAATTGAATAGGCTCCCTGACTGTAAGCTTCAATACCTCAGAAGTAATTTCTTGATTCTTAATCATATTTTGGAAGTAGGACTTGGTCTTCCAATGAGTGCCGGAAGTTTCCATTCCTCTGATTTAAGTCTCTCTGTATAATTTTATTTAGCCTTTATATTAAGCTTTCTGCTCTCTATGATATCCAACAGCTTTCCCTTGGTCATTTCCCCACTTTCCCTAAGTCATTTCCAATCTCTCATCAAAATGATTTGTAAATTCTCAGTCATCTTGTTGAACAACGCAGGCTTCTCCAGAGCTATTTATTCTCAAGTGGCATGGATCATAATGAGTATTATTTCTTTAATTTATTGAAGCTATAGTACTGGGTTGTACTCCTTTCTGGAAAAACAAAACTGTGCTTAGAAAGTAAAACTATTTAAATCCTCTGAAGGAGAAATGTATTTGAGACCACAATTTTTCACTTTTGGGGTCCATCATTCTATCATATATTAGGACCTTTACTGCTCTTGTGGATAATGTGGACTTTGGCATCTAGTGTGTTTCCTAACTGGTCAAAATAATTATTTTATTTTATTTTTGAAAGTAAAAAATAGTTTTTTTTTTTTTTAACAGAACTTTATAATCTTTTGTCTGTTAATCATTCCTTCTCTTTTCTCTTTCCACCCACTTTCAACCACCCAGTGCCTTCTCTTCCAATCTCTGGTATCTACACTTATCCTCTCTACTATCATATCTTTGGATTTTCTGCTTCGGTAATAGAGTGCAGACTTTCAGTTTATGTTGATGGGGAAATACAGTGTACCCCTTCCAAAGTCTGGCTCGCTTTGGTTTATATTAAGTCCTTTGTATTCATCCACTTTGAATCAAACAGAAGGGGTGTCATTGTTTCTTACGGCTGAGTAATGTTCCATAGTATCTATGTGCCACCATTTTTCAATGCAGTCATCAGTTTCTGGGCACATAGTTTGATTCCATGTCTTAACAATTGTGAATAATGTAACAGTAAACTGGAATGTCCTTCCAACTGTTTTCCTGTCCTCTGAGTAAATACCAAGGAATGGGATTACTGGGTTACATGGTAGTTCTATTTGTAGTTTTTTGAGAAACCTATGTGTTGTTTTACATAGAGTTTGTACAAATATACATTTCCAACAACAATGTAAGAGGGTTCTCTTTCCACCATATCCTTGCAAGTATTTGTTGTTCTTTAGTTTTTCCATCCTAGCAATTCTAATTGGGGTTAAATGGTATCTCATCATGGCTTTAATTTGCATTTCCCTTATGACAAGAGATTTTGAACATTTTTCACATGTCTTTTGGCCATTTGTGATTCTTCCTTGGAGAGTTGTCTATTCAGTTTATTTGTCCATTTTTCTTTTTAGAATTATTTGTTGTTATTCATCTATTTGACCACAGTGGTATGGAGAAGAGAGGGAGAATGCACAGAGAGGGAGAGTGAAAAATCAAGCTGCCAGGTCTGGGACTCAGACCACTGTAGGCCATCCGGTAGTCTAGGGTCTTTACTACCCTGTGAGTTGCCAGCCCAATTTGCCCATGTTTAATTGGTTTACTCATTTTTTAATGGGTGAGCTACTTGAGTTCCCTATATATTTTGGTTACCAATCCATTACCTAAGAAATAATGCTCAGGGCATTGGGGTTAAGCTCCTGTGTGGCGATGGTATCAACAATGGCTGCAGTGAAGAGAGTTCAGCGTGATGTCTTACCATTTTGCTAGTACAGCTCACCAAGAGTCCAGAAGGCAGAACTTAACACTGATTATAAATCTGTAAATGAATGCATGGAAGGTGTTTGTAAAATGTATGAAGAATGTCTGAAGAGCATGAATCCCAACAATCCCTCCATCACATACAATATCAATCCGTTGTTTGATTTCATCGGCCATCTGGTAGACCACAGAAAACTAGAAAGCTTGACTTCTGAAAACTTCGAAAATTAAATTTAGAGGAACATTTTTACCACATGACTTTGTTATATCCTGCTGTGGAGAAATACGTTGTTTACAGAGAGGCTACCGACTGCCATGACAGTATCTGTGACGGCATATCCTGTTCTTGTCCTTAATCAAGGATTGTGATTTGGGCTATTATTTAGACCAGAGATGGAGTCCAGTTTTGCTTCATAAATAGTTGTGTACTTATTGCTACTATTAAATTGACAAGACAAGATTTTAAAAAGGACTTTTGGAAATTGATTTTTAACAGGTGTGGGAGAGAATGGAATAAATAAGGTTCTACTTTGGGACATAACTAAACTCAGGGCAAATTGATCATGTATTAATAATACTTTTAGACATAGAGATTTTGTATTTTCATATCCTTACAGTCTGAGTGTTTTTCAGTTTTCTGATCTGTAAATTTTTTAAAACAAGATTTTTGTAAGATGAAAATAATAGCTTTTGAATACGCAGGTTTTTGTTATTGGCTTAGAGACAAAATGGTATTTTCACTCAGTTTGAGATTCCTCACTTAAGGACCTCCCTGTGGATTTCGGATCAATCCTCCAGTGCAGGGAATTCCCTTTCTCAGTCTTTGTCTCATTCCCACAGTCAGTATTCACTACATGAAGTGTTCACAACCACCCAAGACTACATATTTCTTTTATAAATTTGTACTTTATTGTGCATGTATAGCATTTAGTATAAAAAAAGATTACACTGGGCTTATATTACTGTGTTATAACGTGGCTTGTCGCTTTTGGTGCTTATTTAATGTGTGTTTTTTGAATGGATAGAATTTCATTATTCTAGTGTGGTGTCATATGATATCTGTTGAAACATTACATACCCTGCGGTGACAGGACACACCACACGACATCTGCCTATAAGCTCCTCACATACCGATCAATTAGCTTAGTAAGCTAGTTAAGTGAGGAGTGTCCATATTGTAATGAGGAGGTGATCCTAATTGTGAAGATCCTGCTGGTTTTATTGCTCAGACCCACCGTTTCAGTTCTTTTATAAACCTACATTCATTGACAGTAGCAGGCAAAAAGACTCATCTGTGCCAATAGTAAGGAATGTTATTAATGTACTTAATATTTAATTGTCTCATTTTCAAGTCCTAGTAAATAGCCATTAATACATAGATTTTCATAAAGAAAGCATTATTACTATTTCATGAATTGGCAAATAGAATGTAATTTGATGGATTCTTAAATCCATCGCACAAGACAGTGATCTTGTTGGGAGGCAGATGGTTTAAATTAAATAAAGCTATCCCATCCATATATAATGAGAAATTGTTTCTTTTTTAGTTTTTCTGGTGTTAATACAAATATCACAGTCTATTCTGACATACCTCGAAGTAGACTAAATTAGAGCTTATTTAATTAGGAAGCATGAATGAGGATATTTAGAATATTTCTCATCATAACCAAAGGATGTAAGAGCTAAATGTCTTTTTATTTGACTAAGCAGTTTGTAAGATACAAAGCTTGTGCGTTTTTAATAAAGCAGAATTCTGACCTTGTCATGCAGAAAAGTAAGAATTAACATTCTAATATTTCTTCCATTCTGAGAGTTGTCTTTTCAGTATAATTGTTGTTTTCTTTGCAGTGCAGAAGATTTTTAGCTTGATATAATCCAACCTGTCCTTCACTGACATCTGTTTCACCTCCACCACCGTCCCAAAGATGCTGGTGAACATCCAGACACAGAGAAAGGTCATCACCTATGCAGGCTGCATCATCCAGATGAGCTTTTTCCTGCTCTTTGCAGGGCTGGACAACTTCCTCTTGACAGTGATGGCCTATGACCGGTACATGGCCAACTGTCACCCCCTGCGCTACACGGTCATCATGAACCCCTGGCTCTGTGGAAAGCTGGTTCTGGCATCTTGGATTATAAGTGTCCCGTATTCCTTGTTACAAACCTTAATGGTTTTGCAGCTGTCCTTCTGTACACGTGTGGAAATACTCCACCTTTTTTGTGAACTTAATCAGGCAGTCCACCTGGCCTGCTCTGACATATTTTTTGTTTTTTTCTTTGCATTTTAACATTTCATTTTCTTTTATACAATCAATCATATTATTTAGCTTTCTAAGTGAATATTTCCACATGTGAACATTTCTTCCTCGTCTAGTTGATAAAACTATAAAATATATTCGACCAATAATACCACATTTCTTTGTCACATTAATGCTTTGCCTCCCTATTTGTCTTTCTTAATGACATGGTGACCTATTTTGAAACTGTGCTGCTGGCTGGTGGTCCCCTCACTGGGATCCTTTACTCTTACTGTAAGATAGTTTCCTCCATTTGTGCAATCTCATCAGCTCAGGGGAAGCACAAAACATTTTCCACCTGTGCCTCTCACCTCTCAGTTGTCTCCTTATTTTATTGTACAGTCTTAGGTGTGTACCTTAGTGCTGGTGCTGCCCACAGCTCACACTCAAGTGCAGCAGCCTCAGTGATGTACACTGTGGTCACCCCCCCCCTTCATCTACAGTCTGAAGACATAAAGAAGGCTCTGAAAATAGTTTTTGGGCGAGACACCATGAAAGGGTCAGTTGGTCTGGAACTGAATTACTGCTCATGAATGCTGGGTTCAAAGCCTTGGAACCTAAAATTGTGATTCTCTGAACAGATTATTAAAGTAATTGTTGGGACCAGCAGATGGCGAAATGGTTATGTCTCTGGACTTCCACATAGTTGACCACATTTTGAGTCCCGGACTCTATGGCTTAAAACTCACACTGGATGTTTTTGAGTGTGTGCCCAATGTCCTGAGAGGAGAATGGATGAAAAGAATTGTGTTGTGGCCCCTGGGGGGTGATGTCTTGCTTTCTGTCTCCCTGGTGAGCACACGTGCCCTATGGCAAAAATCTCTCTCTTAAAAAAAAAAAATAAGGTACTTATCTGCACAATTTAAGTAACATATCCAGCAAATTTTTACCTTGGAATTTTTCTACTTTCCCAAAGTTATGCTTATCCTGTATTAGAAATACTTGGAAATTTTCATGATCTCATAGGATGAACATGCAGCTATTATTTTAAAAATTATTTATCAATAATTATTTTAATTTAATTATTATTACTTTATTATCATTTAATTTGACCAGAGAGAGACAGATAGAGGGAGAGAGAAAGGGAGAAAGTCATCCACCAGGTCCCGGACTCAAACTCGGTAGACCATGTGGGAGTCCAGTGTCTCAGGCATCATGCCTCCTGCTGGCCCCTGACATGCAGCTCTTAACAAAATGTATTTGAGACCAGGAGATGGCATAATGGTTACTCCACCGAATTCCCAGATAGTCCACAGTTCTTCTGGGACCTGATGATTTAACTCACACCAGGCACTTTTGAGTGCGTGGGTAAAGTCTCAAGAGAAAAATGGAGGAGAGGGTATTACAGTGTGGCCATCCCCCCTGGGATTGTTTTCTCACTTTCTGTCTCTTTCTCTGACAAGTGCATATGCCTTATATAAAAACCTCTCAAATGAAAAGAAAGAATCATGTGTTCTCGAATGATGTTGATCATTCTCAACAATATTTGTATAGTTTTACTAAACGAACTCTATTGGGCTATGTTTTGTCTATGAAAAAGAGAACGACAATAAGAAAAAAAACTAAAAACAACGAAACGCATTACATTTGGCTACTAATGCCATTAATGTAATTTAGTGCTTAGAAAAATCTGAAACTGCAGATTTTCATGTATATATCTGTCCTTACTTCCAGTATCTCTATCTGAAATGTGTACTTTAATATATTAGTGTGTTTGATTACTGTAATTTGCTCATTAGAATCCTGTTATGTTATTCTGCTCAGAGTTCACATTCCCTACTCTCTAATCACTGCCAAATATTGATGATAAGGCCCATACTCTGTAATGAAGTTAGAACATACCAGAGAACAGAGCTGGAAGCCATGTGTGGGCTATGGTTCAGGTCCCAAGTCTGGTCAACCAGAAATCTCACTGGATGGGTGTGAGCCCAGGATCCTGGAGGGCTGGGGGGTTGGAGGAAGAGAGTCTCAGCATGCCCATGCCCTGTAGAGGGTGCTTCTCTCTCTTTACTTCCATCTCCCTCTTGCAATCTCTTTCTCTCTCTCCTCATGGGCATTAACACATTGTATATGAAAAAAATATATATTTTTCACCTACATGAGTGAAAATGCCTTGTATATGGAAAGGGAAATTTAAACAAATAGTTGAACAAGTATAGTCTTAGAGTCAGAGATAGCCTTTAATACGATGAAATAAACATGATCATACATTGAGTTATCTATGGACCATGTTTCTTGTTTACCCTGTTCATCTACTTGTGAAGTATGGAAAATTGCTGTCCATGTGGAAGGAGTGAAGGATTGATTGATGTGTTTTATGTTGTTTCATTTAATAGCTTCTTGTTGCTTCTTGAACACCTCCAGTGCTGGCTGTAATTATAACTCCTTGAAGTGCTTAACATGAATTACTTCCATCTCTTTTAAATTTGTTTTCCCTATATCTCAAAATTTTTAATAATTATGGAGAACTCATGACACGTGAAAGCCTTGGGGCCCTCAGTTTTTCATCTTAAAACCTCTCTTTTTTTTCTTTAATTTTATTATTATTATTTTATATTGCATTTAATCACATATATCTTTACAGTGTATACTATTTCCTCTTCCAGCATGATTACTGTGCATATCAGTCAGGACAAAGACATTACTATGCACATCACCGGGTGGGGGTGGCCACGCCACAATCTCTTCTCCTCCATTCTCCTCTCGGGATCTTGGGCATGAACACACACCTGGCGTGAATTTAAGCCACGGGTTCGGGACTCAACCCACGATCGACTACATGGGAGTCCAACGACATAGCCATCACGCTAACTGCTGGTCCCTATATATATATAATTTTTAAAATATTCAATCACTATACATCACTTGGCTTGTAAAGAGAATTTACGCAACATGAAATACTTCTTAGACCAGTCTTATTGAGAATAGTATACATGTTATCATGAACAGATCATAGATCATTTTTGTGTCCCACAAATGTCATGTCTTTTCTATCCTTCTTTTTAAATTTTGCCTTGTATGTTGAAGGGACAGTGAATGAACAAATATCAGTGTCATCCAACATACATTTCATTTATGTTCAAGAGTCTCTTAGAAATTTTTGATTAAAGGATGACTCACAAGAGTTTGAATTCCTGTCTTAGTCATTTGATTTAAGGTCAAAGTTTCCTATAAAACATTTATGTCCTATTGATTTCTCCTACCTACCGCTAAGAAAACATTGATGCAGTCACTAAAAAATTGTAATAGGTTGAGTGTGCTCACAGAGAGAGCAAAAGAAAGGAAAGAGAGAAATCACTTCCCAGGGGGATAGCCATACTACAACTCCTTCTTCTCTAGTTCCCTCTCAGGATTTGGGACACACATGTACACATGAGCAATGTGATTTTTAAGCCACCTGGTCTGGGACTAGAACAGCCCAGTTAGAACCAAGTTGTGGGACCAGTTGTGGGACCCAACACCTTAACCTCCACCACCAGCAGACCTGTGATAACTAAATTTTAACTCAAGGTTGGTAAAAGGTGCTAATGACCTTTAGGGGCAGGAGACTTCACAGAGAGCGTGTAATAAAGACTGGAGTCATTGCACTTTCAGTGTGATCCCTTGAGAGCTGCAAGTAAACAGGAATTTTTTCCTTTCTTTCCAGACCGGTGTCCAAGAGGGAAATCAGGAACTAAGAGGTTGTAGTTATAAGCAGGAAATGTACCTAATGAGCAGATAGAGGGAGCTGCAAATGTTTCCTCTGTCATTGTCCCTCAAGGAGTGCAGCCTTGGCCTGGACAAGTCATGGTTGCTTCTTGTGATATCTCCAGACTGGCTAAGAAGACAAGCTTAAATTCTTTCATTGTGTCTTGTCTGGGGACAGAGCTGCAGTCTCCATCAGCAACCATTCAGGGAGTAAGTCACCGTTCCACAAGAAGATTTTCCTCTCTGAGAGCCCATTCAGGTGAGTCTGAGAGCACGGTAGGTTCTGCAGGAATGATTCAGAGAGAATGGATGCCAAGAACCTCTACTTGAGGTCACCTAAGAGACAAACCAACTTAACGGGAGCTGAGATATTGGTGTGTTTGGTTACTTGTCTGACCAATGTATTCATCGTAAGTCACCGTTCCACAAGAAGATTTTCCTCTCTGAGAGCCCATTCAGGTGAGTCTGAGAGCACGGTAGGTTCTGCAGGAATGATTCAGAGAGAATGGATGCCAAGAACCTCTACTTGAGGTCACCTAAGAGACAAACCAACTTAACGGGAGCTGAGATATTGGTGTGTTTGGTTACTTGTCTGACCAATGTATTCATCATTAATTTATTTAATATGTTAACAAGCCATGTGTCTGTCAGACTCAGCATGTAGGCATCATTGTGGACTATTTAGTGATGGGAGTAGACATCCAACTGGATGAAGATGAAGAAAGAACAGGAGAAATTGAATGATTTCAGTCAAATTTGAACATGTGCACAGGAATTTGCAGTTCAACAAATAGAGAAAGCAGAATCAGAATTGTGATGAGATGGGCCATGACTTTCAGGCCTCTTAAGGAGTTTTTGAAATGAGTGTATTTGGGCCTATTTCTGTACATTTTGAAGAATCCAGATGAATGGATTGTTTGTAATTCAGACCTTGCAACTGTAGTTCATGAGAAATACATTTCACAGTTTCCTCTTTCACATTGGGCATTCACATGAACTTTTTTATTCTCATGTTAAAATGAGAATATTGAAGGGAACCAGCAGTTAGCATTAATGGCTATGTCGCTGGACTCCCATGTAGTCGACCGCGGTTTGTGTCCCAGACCCGGTGGCTTAAAACTCACGCCGGGTGCGTGTGCGTGTGTGCCCAAGATCCCGAGAGGAGAATGGAGGAGAAGGGATTGCGGTGTGGCCATCCCCCCTGGGGGTGATTTCTCGCTTTCTGTCTCTCTGTCTCTCTCTGTCTGTCTGGCAAGCGCACGTGCCCTATAGTGAAAACCTCTCAAAAAAAAAAAAGAAAGAAAAAGAGAATATTGAAGAGATTCACTTACAACTATTTTCTTGTTGGAGACATTGAGTAAGTTGGTGAGTCTGTTAACTACTTAACTGCCAATCATACCACTGTTTTGTTTTTATGTTCTGCAGTGTGAGTATATTTATTCTTTTGATGTTTTCCTTTTAATAATGAATTGAAGTCTTAAAATAAAATTTTCAGTATGCATTTGAATTATTTTTATGTATTGATAGATATAGATATATATATGTATTGGGTGAATGTGAAAACCTAATAATTTTTTTTGAGAGGTTTTTGCTATAGGGCGCATGCGCTCACCAGACAGACAGAGAGAGACAGAGAGACAGAAAGTGAGAAATCACCCCCCAGGGGGGATGCTCATGCTGTAATCCCTTCTCCTCCATTCTCCTCTCGGGATCTTGGGCACGCATGCACACACGCCCGGCGTGAGTTTTAAGCCACCGGGTCCGGGACACGAATCGCGGTCGACTACGTGGGAGTCCAGCCACATAGTCATTACGCTAACTGCTGGTTCCCAGAAAACCTAATAAT